CTCTTTGCCTTTTTGTCTATATATCTCGATTGATATGTCTGGCTATCTATGTTTATCTGTATATCTACCTTGTTATCTATCTATCTACCTGCTTTGCTATCTGTCTATTTGTCTGTCTGTTGTCTATTTATCTATCAATTTCTTTCTCTCTCTCTCTCTCTCTCTCTCTCTCTCTCTCTCTCTCTCTCTCTCTCTCTCTCTTCTCTCTCTCTCTCTCTCTCTCTCTCTCTCTCTCTCTCATTCACTCTCTTTCTTTCTTTCTCTTCCTCTCTCCCTCGCTCTCGCTCTCTCTCTCTCTCTCTCTCTCTCTCTCCTCTCTCTCTCTCTCTCTCTCTCTCTCTCTCTCTTCTCTCTCTCTCTTCTCTCTCTCTCTCTCTCCTCTCTCTCTCTGTCTCACACAGACACACACACACATGTGTATATTATGTATATATATATATATATATATATATATATATATATATATATATATATATATACATATATACATATATATACATAAAGATATATCTTACATGTATACATGTATACATAAAGATAGATATATGTGTGTACATATATCCATCTATCTATCTTTATGTATATATTATTCATCTATTATTCAGTCTGTCTATCTTCCTGTCCATCTACCCAAGTATTCTGTCTACTTTTTTAATCAACTTTTTATAATACCTGCATGCATTGCTGTGGATCTAACGGGTTATTGTGGCTTTATGAAAATTATTTTCTGGTTCTGAAATTAGAGATTTTCTGTACTAATCTTTTAAATGATTTGTTATTTCCCTTGCTACTACAAGCACGAATTAATATTACAAATATGTGATGAATTAAAGAAATATATATCCTGTTTAATCTACAGTTTTGAGACGTAAATTACGGTTATTCAATTAAATCATTAAATAAACGCAAGTTCCCGCCATTTCATTCGAACATTAAATGAACGTAATTTTCCGTTACTTAATTATGACAGTAACTGACCGGAAATTCCAATCATTTGATCAAGACATGAAATTTAAGTAAATTCCCGTTAATGAATAATTAAAACATAAACAAAAGTGGAAATTTACGTCCTTTTAGAAATACCTTTTGCACATTCTTTACGTACCTTTGTTTTTTCACAGAGACTTATGACTTGTTCTATTGCTACTTCCTCCATCTTTTGTGGGCGAGACTTCAGAAATGTACTGTACTTCTCAGATGGATCTATTGAGAAAAGGCATGTTGAAAATTGGTTCATCCTTATTAACGGCGACATTAATGTATTATAGCATGATTCTTACCACATTGCGCATTTACAAAAAATATATATATATTTCTTTTTTCATCGGTTTATCGGGATTAAATTCCAGACCTTTGTAAGTCCTCAAGTTGGCACTAACCTGAATCAGTCACAGATGGCCCGATGTCACACTCTGCATGGAACTGTTGATAAAGGAATAAATAACAGACTTTGGTGCGGATTCCTTCGAAGTAGATTTTAATCGTGTTTAAATCTTGATTTTTTTTTTTTTTAATCAGCCGTATATCATGTTTCACTTTTATATATTCAATTATATGTGTGTGTGTTTCTCTGTGTGGGTGTGTGTCTGTGTAGATATATAATTTCCAGTTTAATAAAAATCTAAATAAGATTTAAAAATGCCCGCGAATATGTTTGCATTCGTCTGTTAGTTATTCGTGAAAAAAAACTCATTTCCTCAAAACATTTCTCATTTGTGCACAGACCAGTAAAACAGAAGAGGTGGTCGAGAGCTGTGTGAGAGCTTCTTCAACTTCTTCATAATCCACACTCGGGAACTCATCCACTCCGCTGTGGATGAGGAAGCACTTGAATCCACATATACCGTTGTCGACCATTTTGCGCAGCTCGGAAGAGTTTCCTGGTGTGAAGTCGGGAGGATGAAGTTTGGTTTAAATTTAGTTTGTCGGCACGGTGACATAGAAAGGAAATGCTTTAAACATGTTTCTATTAGTGGATCCTCACCGGGGACAACGCCGCCCCAGAACCCGACGTCGACCCAGCACTGCCCCTTCGCCGCGCCCATCTTCTCGGCCCACGCAGCCATGCTTGTGGTTGGCGGAATCGAATTGCTGGAACGTTTAAGGCAGGGTGAACGTTTTCGTTGGCTTGTAAGACCCGGAAGAAAGTTAATAGTATGCTGAATATTAGATGGATTATTCTATTACTGTTTCTTTTTTTCAATTACTGATCCTTACTCTTAATTTTGTGTAGGTGGTCGCTCATGTGATCAAAAGGCAATACGAGAAAATGTCTGGCATTTCTTATAATTCCATCTTCAAGTGCTTTTGAATACATGTATAAACGTTGTTATTCTTCTCACTTCAAGCTCCTAACAAATTACCCAAATGCTCTCTAATGTAACGCCGTGTGAAGTGTTCTTTTATGTTGCAAAATTAAAACAAAGACTAAAGGACCTCCTCATATCAGCTTTGTCTTTTCAATAAACATGCAAACCAGAATTATGTTTTGTGCATTTCT